AATGCTATTTTCTCGGTGGTTTCCTTGGAAGGATCGATAAAGAAAAACCATGAGTAAAATCCTTAGCGCTTAAATAGGTTCATGCATACATGAGAGAGTTGCGTATTTTATCTCTTTCTGAATGTTGCAGGTGATAAAATGGTCACCCCATCTTTTTCAAAAATGTAAATCCTTTTTGTTTCTATGGTTTTGTCCTTTTTGTTTCTATGGTTTTGCTTAACTTTCGTTGTATTGTCTTTTGTCAATTTTGGAATAATATGGATGGGCATTTATGCCCGCATTAACAAGAGGACCACTCTTGCCAGTGAGTGGGATGCATCCTTTTTGTTTCTGTGGTTTTTGTTTTCTTTATGCAGGAATAAAGCAAAGTTTAAAAAAAGAAAAAAAATCCACTTTAATGTGCTTTCATTTTTAATCCAAGGGCAGGAGGCCCAAATGCTAATCTAGCAAATAATTTCGAAAGAAAAGATTTATTAGATTTATTGTCTTTTTCGCTGTCTCTAAAGTGGCAGAATAACAGGTAATCAAATAGAAAATAGTGGTGGAAGCAACCAGAGATACCAAACAAATAGGCATTTAGCATCCGAATAAAGCGCCCAAGCCCATCAAGAACCCATCAGCCCAAGGTCGGCTTATTGCTTATTCAGGCAATTTGGAGTCGGTGTGCAGCTCGTATACTTCAATAATTCCATCTACTCGCCACACAGGGGGCAAAATCATCAAATTCACCAAATTACCTTTAGGTAAGTTTTCTTTCAAACACCGCATCAGGAAAAGTATACCTGAAAATTTGGGGACTAGAAAAATTTAGCAAAATTTTTACTAAATTAATTTAAGCTAAAATTTCAAATTTTTTTTTGCAATGTATAAGATAATGAAAATTTTCAAGGTTTGTTTAAAAGATAATATTTTTGGTCTCGGGATGGGATTCCGGACTGGGGGCAAAAATAAAATCTTTTGCCCTAATTCAAAAGCTTCAAATTTCAAAGTTTATGGTTATTAATGCATGGGGGCATGTGAAGTTTATGATTATTAATGCATGGGGGCATGTGATGCTCCAACATCTAACAAAAGCAAGATTTGTTTGTACACAGAAATTGCTCTTTTCTTTTGAAAATGTTTTCAGGTCAACCGGTGATGGTTTCTCGAAGCCGTTGGCGCTCTAACATTTAACAAAGCGAAATCTGTTTGTATACAGAAATCGCTCTTTGGACCCACAAAGCGAAATCTGTTTGTATACAGAAATTGCTATTTGGTCCCACCAAGCGAGATCTGTTTGTACATAGAAATTGCTCTTTGCTGAAGGAGCGTGAACAACAAAGCAGATTAAACCGAACTTTGAACAAAGCGAAATCTATTTGTATTCAGAAATTGCTCTTTGGACCCACAAAGCGAAATCTCTTTGGACCCACAAAGCGAAATCTGTTTGTATACAGAAATTGCTATTTGGTCCCACCAAGCGAGATCTGTTTGTACACAGAAATTGCTCTTTCAAATCCTCTAAAGCCGATTAAACTGAGCTAAGGAGTGAACAATAAAGCCGATTAAATCGAGCTTTGGACAAGGCAAAATCTGTTTGTATACAAAAATTGCTCTTTGGACCCACAGAGCGAAATCTATTTGTATACAGAAATTGCTATTTGGTCCCACCAAGCGAGATCTGTTTGTACACAGAAATTGCTCTTTTCAAATCCTCTAAACCTCCTCTAAAGCTGATTAAACTGAGCTGAGGAGGTGAACAACAAAGCCGATTAAACCGAGCTTTGGACAAGGCAAAATTTGTTTGTATACAGAAATTGCTCTTTTGACCCACAAAGTGAGATTTGTTTGTATACAGAAATTTCTCTTTGGTCCCACCAAGCGAGATCTGTTTGTATACAGAGATTGCTCTTTGAACCCACAAAGCGAGATCTGTTTGTATACAGAAATTGCTCTTTAGACCTACCAAGGCGAGATTTGTTTGTATACAGAAATTGCCATTTTCAAAAAAATCTTGGACGTGACCAGATGACCGCTGATGCCCAGAACACTGATGTAGTCCAACTGGAGCCTTCAAGGCGACACAACAAAATCCTTCGAGCCAATCAAATTGATCTTCGGAGGTGACTTCAAAGCCAATCAGACCGAGCTTTGGAGATGATCAAGACCTTCATTCAACCCAAGATTGAAGGCGCGTCAGTAGACCACTTTAGATTGAAGGCGCCGTCAGTAAGACCACTTTTAAACATTAATCGTGTTACAGACATTAAAATGATAAACAGTGGGGGGGGGGGCAAAACGTTGCAACGCGTGTTCCTTTAATGCCCCCCGCCTGATCAAATGATGAATACGAGGATGTGGAATTGAAAGGTTAATGCTATCTAGAAGTCTTTTTAATTCCAAGGATTCTAAATTAAAAAAAAAAGGGGATGTTAAGTCTTTGACTAGGTCATAGCTGCGTCAACGCAGCTAATGTTAGACTACATTTTACGTTTTTGTAATTTAAACGACATGGTAGGCTCTGGTACCCGCGGCAAAGTAAGCTGGCGTCACGCAACTATGCGCTCTGCCGTCACGTCAGCTATGCTCTGTGACCTACTTCTATAAATAGATCTTTTTCTCAACATTTGATGACAACTGAGATACGCATTTTTTTTGAAACCCTAAAAAAACACAACCCTGCGGCCACAGTTCTCCTCCAAAACTCTTGCTGAAGTTGCATCTTGAAGGGAAATTTGCCATTAGCAATATCATTTTAGGTGAAATCAAAACCAATAAAAAGAGAGAAAATAACAAAATAAACAAAGAACCACTTGAATCATTGGAAAAATACAGCTTCTGGCGAGGATCTTAACCTATCACTTTTGTTTAAGGACATTTCGGATCCATTTCACAATCCTCAATCTGAAGGATTATGTAATCTTCTTTTAAACATTTTTTGTATTTTTTAACAACTACTTTTGGTGGCTTTTAGTAATTTAAGCTTCCTTTAAATTGTATTCATGTTCATTATTTGCCATCTTTATAATGTCCTTAATCACATTTAAATAAAAAATGATCTAATAAACGTCTAAAACGACTTGGGCTAGAACAGCTGCGTTCACGCAACCTGTTCATATCGCGCCAAGAACAACTTCGTCAAGCAACTGTTCATCTCAGGAATAAGCTCACGTCACGCAACTGTTCATACCCAGGAACAGTTGGGGTGACGCAACTGTAGGCTGTGTGACACACTGTTCCTACATAGCTTTCAGAGTTAATTTTCTTCACAATAAATCTGAAAAAAATGCCCAAATTATGAACAAGATCGCAATTTAAAATTAAGTTTAGAGTACTAAAATGTTGATTTTATGTAATTTTATTTGGTATGAATTTTTTGCAATCTTTAGGTTGAATGCAAAATGTATTTTAATTTATGTGCTGTTAGTAATTTTGCAATCGCTGTAGGATTAAATTAAAATAGAATGTGATTTTAGATGTTAAATAATAATTGTGCATCGATTTTGGGTTCTTTTGGTTTTTGGGTTGAATTTAAATCGGGTCAGAATGTAATTTTTAGGTTCAGTTTCTAAGGCCGCTCTTGAACACAAGGCAAAGAGCGGGTCTCTTTATTTATTTGGATTTAACTGTTTTTGGTTTGGGGATGATTTGGATGATTATGGATGCAATGATTGGAATTTGATGGGAAGATTACATTAAATCTTTCACGATTAATTAATTTTCCATATAAGAACTCGGTTCGATTCATTCGGGTTGGGTTTAAATAAATAAATAATTTGGCTTTTCTAGCTAAAATTAATTAGAAATCGTAAGGTTAAAAGAAGCCGGTTTTTCTGGGCGTCGGCTTCCAACGGGCCGACGTACATAATTACCTTACCCAGAATCGCATTGTTGCGCCTGACCAGTCTTTTAAATAATTGGGCCTTAAATAGAATTGGGTTTAAAATGGAGTCATTTTTATAAAATATAATTGGAAACGGTTCCATTGCCGAAAAAATGGGTGGCAGACTCAAAAATATTTTTTAAGACCGATTTATCGGTATTCTTATCCAATAAAATGTTTTGTCACCAATGTTCAAAGTAAGATCATTTTCCATCAAAAATAAAAAGAGACGTTTTTCGGGTCGCTCGGGGCGGTGCGAAAGGCGGGTGCGAAAACAAACACTAATTACTTTTTCTTCCTATTTAAATTAGGAGGGGGCAATTGATATCCAATAAAATGTTTTGTCACCAATGTTCAAAGTAAGATCATTTTCCATCAAAAATAAAAAGAGACGTTTTTCGGGTCGCTCGGGGCGGTGCGAAAACAAAACTAATTATTTTTTTCCTCTTAATAGGAGGGGGCAATTGACCCCCTCCTCCAATGAGTAGCTTCAGTATGAAGGTGTTCATCATATTTGCTTTGGGTGTTGTCGGTTTGGACATACCAATGACTGATGTCAGTATACAGATTTGAATGATGTTGTGCATACAGAAATAGTCGAAAATGCTGAGGCGTAGGTTGGCTCCCAAGTGAATTCAGATGGTCCTTGTCGGCCTGCGGTGGTGGAACAGATTCCGGTGGAGGTTCTTGATGACTTTGGGCCATGGATGTTGGCAAAGAAAAATATTTTAGGAGACCAGCTACCAACCAAGACAATTTTAATGGTGAGAATTTTGTAAGGGTGCAATCTGGTAAGGTAGATAAGAGTCCCTTTGCCCCTAGGTCACGTTTTGCGACATTGTTTGAGGACCTAGTTGAGGAAATTGTGTGTTTTGAGGACACTGCAACCCAAAACACTCTAGAGGAACAACAATCTATTCAGAAAAGGGCCAAACCAAATGATGGGCCTCGGGCTACCCAGGTGGATAAGGGTAAGTAGGTCCAGCAGAGCAACCCTCAATCCAAATCTGGGCCCAGTTTAGCTATGCCAACTACGTATAGTGTTCTGTGGCCCATTGCTAGGAGGCTGAATAATACGATGCTATCTAATGTCATTTTGTCTCATGGGCCTGCTCTAGGTGGTGATAGTGGTTTGGAGATTGGGGTTAAGGACCTTATGGACTGTCTAGATAACACCCCTGCATCTAATGACCACCATTCCTTAACGAATGCTCTAGTTTGTGCTTATTCTTCGGTTAATTCAGCTTTTCCTAAGGGTCAATCTAAGGTTGCTGCAGCTATGGGTCACCATGTTATAATTTCTAGGCATCACAGTGTTATCTCGTCCTCCATTATCAGCAATTCAATTCATTTTGGTCACTCTCTCACTACTGGTCAGGATGGTGCGATAGATGGGGTTTTTCAGTTTCCTCGGCTGCCGAAAAATGGGGTTCTTAATGTTAATGATGACCTTACTGATACGGAGGGTGGGTCACAAGAGGTATGGGCTTGTCCTTATTATTTCAAATGCCATTATGGATTAAGTGTTTTTTAAAACTGATTTATTTTCTATTTTTTTTGTCTTGTTATTTTTATGTCGTTGATTGTGTAGAATATTCAAGGGGCCGCATCTAAGCGTTCGATATGACTCCTTAATGAATATTGTCGTAGATATAAGCCTTTGGTGGTTGTGTTGGTTGAGCTTAGGATTTCTGGGTCGAAGGCAGATATGCTGCTCTGAGCTTGGGTTATGCTTCTTGGTTGAGAGTAGAATTGGTTGGCATGAGTGGAGGTATTTGGGTCTCTTTGGGGCTTGAGATAGGTAATTTGTCGATCCTTCTCACCAATTCACAACTTGCGCAGTGTGAGATAGAAGATTTCAAAGGTAGAAGGTGGTTGTTCATGGCGGTTTATGAAAGTCCGGTGGAAGAGTATCTGAGTTGCTCTTCTAGAATTTAGCTATTATAAGTCCTCAGAATGAATTACGATGGCTTTAGCAGGGGATTTTAACACCTATATAATGCTGGATGAGACTACAAGCATAGGTGCATATGTTAGTGCTAAGTGTCACAAATTCAGGGAGTGGGTTCATACGAATGGCCTAATAGATTTGGGTTTTAATGGAGCTAAATTTACATGGTTAAGGGAATCTGCTACTTCGGATTTCAAGGCGGCCAGGCTAGATAAGGGTCTTGCAAACTTACAATGGAGATTGTTGTTTCCTTCGATTGAGGTTTGTCACTTAGAATGAGCAATCTCAGATCATTGCCCTTCTGTTTAAGCTTCAAACCTCAACTTCTCCCCTTCGACTATTATTTTCAGATTCTAGGGGATGTGGCTGACCCATCTTAGCTTCTTACGAGTTATGCACGCTCATTGGAACTCTGGGAATTCTTTTGGGGAAGCCTTGAATGGAATCAACTCAATTCTTTCTAGATGGAGTCGGGAAGTTTTTGGGAATGTGTATAAGAGGAAGAGGTGAATTTCAGCAAGAATCAGAGGTATCCAAGCTAATGTTAACTAGTTTCACAACCCAAGTTTGCGGAGATTCGAGAGTAAATTAAGAAGGGATTTGGAAGTTGTTTTTGATCAGGAGGAACTTTGATGGTTCCAAAAGTCTCACGAGAAGTGGATTCGAGATGGAGAGCTGAATACTAGATACTTCCATGCAAGTATGAGGGTCATTCAAAAAGGGTAACAAGGCTGTTTGACACTGATAGTGGGGTCTGGGTAATAGATCATGGTTTAATGTTGGGTATTGTTGCTGATTTCTTTAATAGACCATATTATAAGAAAATGGATGCCAGACCGCCTGCTGATATTCCGTTAGATTTTCCTTCTCTTTCGGTAAGGGAGGCAACACTGCTCAATGCTCCATTTTCAGTGGGTGAAGTAAAGAAAGCGCTTTGTGATATGGATCCTTACAAAGCCCCAGGGCCAGATGGCTTCCAGGAAGTATTTTACCAAAAAACTTAGGGGATTGTTGGTCCGTCTTTGTGTGATATGGTTCTGAAGTTTCTTAATGGTGGGAAATTGCCTTGGGGTATTGGGGAGATTCTTATTGAGGACGCGAGATTTCCTCCAAAAGTTTGATTTGAAAAGAATCGAATCGAATGAGCTTCATTCATTTTATTAAAAATCTATTTTCCTTATTATTCCATTCGTTTAATCCTCGGAAAATGGTTTTCTTACTTTGGTAAGAGTTTTATTTTTGGAGTTGCCACCCTTATTAGGAAAAATATTTGAATTAGTCGATTCTTTAAAATCGACTAATTCAGTTTTAAACCAAAGATGGGGTTCCGGAGTTAGGTATGATAGGGGAAGGTGTTAGGTACTCCTATTGCTCGGTTAAACCGGCCTCCTCACTGTCTAAAGATTCACAATTGGTAATAATGCAATCAACTAAAATTGAGATGTAAACCCTTTTTATGCAAATTTTGGAAAATTATGTCAGTCACACATTTAATTGAGATACAAAGTATAAAGACATAAAGTAAAGCAACCACAAAGAAAGAAAGATGAGAAAAGAGTTACAAATCATCCCTAATTATTACAATCTACCCCTTACCCTCCAAAATTTCCAATGCCCAAACTAATTATTACATAGAAGCATTTAATGAGATCCACTAAGATCTCTTTTCATTTTGCAAAAATAACACATTAAAGCACAATAAGAAATAGACATCCCAACAAACAACATAAACATAAAGATAAACATAATCCACAGGAGAATAAACATACATCCCAATCAATCAACACTCAGTCATTCACAAAAATGAAAGCGTGATGTATGTACAAAATACAAGATTGATGAATAAAAGGGTTTAGCAGAATAATAAATATAAACCATTAAATTAAAGGGCATGAAATAAAAGGCAGAATGATGAAGTGCTCAAAAAGTAAATAACAATAATTAAAAGACATGAATTTAAATAGTTAATTAAGATTTAAGCTCATGGTCTTGATGTTCATTAAGGATGATGAACAAATTCACCAATCATGGCTCTCAATCTTGTTTTATTGTTTATTTGATCCATTTGTGACCAAATATAACACATAATTAAAAGACCAATGAATTTAATAGTTACATTTAAGATTTCAAGCTCAATGGTCTGATGTTCATTAAGCGATGACTGAACAAATTCATGGTCTTGATGTTCATTAAGGATGATGAACAAATTCACCAATCATGGCTCTCAATCTTGTTTTATTGTTTATTTGATCCATTTGTGACCAAATACGCATCCCAAACATCCTGAGGTTGGAGCTTGGTCACTGGATCTTCGACAAAGGGGCGTTTATTGATTTTTAACCAATTTGGACCTCTAAAACGAAGGGCCTAGCACCACAAGGTGATATAGCGTGTGCCATATGGGTGTGGCATGCGCCCCACGTAGTGGCACAAGGCCCTTCCCAGATCAAGATTGTTCAAATGAAGAACAGGTCAAGAACACAGGATCTAGGCTCATGTGGTGCGAGCCAGAGGCCTGTGGAGCATAATACACATAGTGGCTTGTGCCACTAACTCAGGCTGTGCGCCATAGGGGCACAGAGATCATTTATTGTTTGATCCTCGATTTCCCTCCCAACTCGACCCAAAAGAGGTATTCAAAGCACTGAAAAGAGAAAAAAAAGATGAAGGAATAAGATTAAGGTCGTTAGAAACTATCTTTGATGATTTGTTAAAAAAAATGGATGAAGAAACCCAAACACTTGGTCTTTGATCCAATAGTTCGAGATTTAAGATTAAGGTTATGTGTTTTTAGGATTTTTTATTGATCTCATGGGATTTTTGATTAATTAAGACAATAAAATCTCAACTTAGATCAAAGGTTAACACTAGTTGCCTTTGAATCTTTAGATTGAGTTTTAAAAATGCAAGAATTTCCCTTTAGTATCATAAAATCCTCCTCCTTGGCTCACCCCCCAATGTCTATTTATAGGCATTTGAATTGAGTGGCCCCATTTAGGTTGACGTGGAAAAGAATGCTACTATTTGGCCTCGCAATGGGACCGGGCCCACTTTTACTAAAACAGACGTGTAAATATAGCATAAGTGCCGGGCATAAAGGCTGTCAGGTGATCTGTGGCAGCTGAACCTCTCCGAGCAGCTACAATGTCCTATTCTAGCTGGATGGACCTGGTTGACAGCATGTAACATAGGATGTCATGAGGAACTCTCCTCCTGTCTGGGCTAAGCTCCCACTTATATACCCTCTCTCTGAGGTAATACATGTCGTAGAACAGACCCGGGAGGAGGAAATGTCTGTGCTGATAGATGACAACTGCCTGGATGAAATCGAGAAGTCAATTGTGTCTCCCCATGGATATCTCTCTATTTATAATAAAAAAAGAAAAAAGACGAAACAAAACAAAAATAAAAAAAGCAAAGCAAAAAATTAGAAAACAAAAAAAAAAAAAAAAAAAAAAAAAAGAAAGAAAGAAAAAAACAACAAAGTGGAAAGTTTATGATAAAAAAGGGGTAGCGAACTCCCACCTAATCCCAGCTCAAGCCATCAAGTAGCTGCTGGTAATCACAACCGTCCTGAGGTAGTATAAGAAATACCTTTTTGCTGTACTGCCATGCTTCGGCCTCAAGGGGGGAAGGGAAGAGTCCTTACATTACACCTCCCTCAAAGCTGAACAAGCCAGACATGAAGGAACTACTTTTGTGCTCACAGCCCCAAAATCTGTAATCATAAATAACCTAGAAATCAGTGAACAAGAGGAAAAGCAGAATAAAAGCAGGAAAGCGAAGAATAACCAAAAGATGTGATTTTTGTATCTCAATAACTCGCTTGTAGTTACCTTCAAGTGTGCCCCGTGGGATGCCCAGATCCATACCGTAGTACAGATAACATAGAAGTGGCCAGGCTCCCCTAGTTGAATTGCCTGGTGGCTCCAGGTCTTGTATCAGTGGTAGCAGCGCCAATTTTGCGTCGTTATCGTGGTTCATAAACAAGCAGTCAAACAACAGAATAAAATAAGTAAGGCTCGTGCTACCATGCCTATATCCATCTCAAGCTACCCACTCCAGAAGGCATCTCCTGATAATGAGGATATATGCTCTCAAACTTGATGCCTCTGGTCCAGAAATAGTGGGCTCCATTCAATGGCAGCTTCGGAAGGCTCTCCCGCAGAACCCTGGAAGTCTATGTCTCATTCTTATCATAAAGACCATTGACCGTCCTCCAAACGACAACCCGTGATGCAGGCCAAAAAAATCAATCGGCGTGATAGTTCAATCTCCAACTGAATGGCAATGGAAGTAAATGTGTGGTGTCCATCACCACTCCATCAACTCTAAGAAATGCTGACCGGCAGAGTCTGCCCCTGTGCCCGAGGTAGAGTGTTTCATGAAAATGGCTAAACCTGGCCTCTGAACATGCTTCCTGGATCGGTTCGGGAGCCGTCAAACCATTCACGACTGGCAAAGGTGTAAGTGCTGGAATTTTTCCGTGCCTTGCGCCCTTTCTGCATAATAAACCCGCCATAAGTATGTTAATAGAGTGCAAAAGCACGTGTTTTTGAATGCAGGAAAACATTAACAATAGCAAAAATTGAGACCTAGTGGCGCGCGAGCCACAGGGAACTGAATGAAGTCCCCCACAAGGCCTGTGGAGGCATGCCACAGGCCCGCAGTCCAAGCTTTTTAATGCCAATTCAAAGTGGCGCAGCCACTAGCTGCTGTGGTGCACGCCGTAACGGCCCGTCACATGCCCTGAAATGCCCAAAACCCAAAATCAGGCAATCTATCTAGTCTTACTTCTAACCTAATATTTGCATATTTAATAGTCCTAATAATGCAAGAAAATAAAGAAAAGGTGATAAGAATACCTCATTGTGCCTAACAAGGTGACTGGGTCAAATTGTGCTGCACACTGATTGTGTTACTGCATCCGGAATGAATTTCCAGTAACTTTATCCTATGGCTTTACAGGGCAAGTCATAGGGTCGATCATTGCATCACTAAGGAAGCCAGTCCACAACGTTCGGTAGATGAGTTCGGTTGGCAAAAGAGTGGAAAAGATGAAAAGAGGGAAAATTTGAAAAGAAATAAGAATAAGAAAGGTTGAAAAGTGAAAAAGTGATGTCACTTTGCCTTTTATAGAGATTAGTGGGCCTATGGGCCCTACTTAGGGCCCAATTCGATCCAAAGGTTCATTAACCGTGACAGCTCTTGTATTAGTCCTGCAACCCGTAACGCTAACCGCCTAAAAGCAGGGGCCAACACATAAGCTGGCCACAAGGAAAGCCTCCTTGTTTTGGCGTACCAATGATATAATTTTCAAAATAAATTCATAAAAAATTCACATGAACTCATGAAAATTTACCACATTTTTTATCACTTACCACATAAGGCACGCTTTTCAGGCCTAATCATGAAAAAATTTCTAAACTTATAACAGGCCGCCTGCTTCCCCTATGTTGCTAAAGAATTGTTTTTTTGCAGGTACCCTCACCAAGTGGAACATTTCAGAACCCAAAGCCGTCCCAAGTGGTGCACCTAAGTCCGTCTCGAGTGGCACACCTAAGTTGTCTCGAGTGGCTCCACCTAAAGCCGTTCCCAATGGCACACCTAAAGTCGCCCGTGTGGTGCGCCGTAAAGTCCCCTAAGGTTTTTTCAAAGTCCCTCTAGCACTATCCAAAGAATAACCTCCTAAAGTGGAGCATTTTTAAAAATCAAAACCCCACCGAGTGACACAAAGATAGCCGCATAAGCTGTCAACAACCACCATAACGCAACCATCCCCTTCAAATGCCGTAATGGTACCGTAAAGTCCCGAGGTAGGTTTTTCAAAGTCCACCCTGGCACTTCTGAAGGACAACTTCCCGAAGTGGACATTCTCAAATCAATAGTCCACCAATTGGCGCAGAATAGTCGCAAAAGCCGTGAACAATCCACCAAATAACGCAAAATTCATTTGCCCTTCAAATGCCGTGATGGTTATTGTAAAGTCCCCCGAGATAGGTTTTCAAAGTCCTCTTAGGCACCGTCCAAAGGACAACCTCCAAAGTGAAGCAATTCCTCAAATCAAGTCGCCAATAACTCAAGATAGCCATAGAAGCCATCAACAAAGCACATGCACATACTCCATTCACCTTCAAATGTTTTGTAATGGTATCATAAAGTCCCCCGAGGGAGATTTTTCAAAAGTCCCTCTAGGCACCAATCCGAAGGACAATCTCCCACACTAGA